CTTTCCCCCTCCCTGTCTCCCTCTGTCCCTCCCTCCCTCCCTCTCCCTCTCTGCCTCTCTCTAAAATAAAAATAAATAAATAATACTTGATTTACTTAGTTCTGAAAAGTTTAACAGTTTCATCTAAAAAATTTCCAAATAGTAACCATTGACACATAATCATTGTTGAGTATCATTGCTGTCTAGTGTATAAATGAAACTTAAAAACTAGAAAATCCTGCCTTTGTGCCTTTGGTCTATTAAGGCTATGTTTGTGAATTTTAGGGGAGTAACACATTTAGTTTCTTATAAATTCACGAACTTTTATTCATATTGGAGTTTATGTTTTTCCTTTATACAGAACAGAAGCTATATTTACTTGATTCATGGAACATAATTATATGTAAATTTTCAAAGCAAAACTTTTTCATTTATTTTATATTCTTAATTATGACACTTTTGTGCTTTGGGATGATAGAACTTCAAAGAAGAAATCTTTAGCGCCCATTAAAGTCAATTTATTAAATCATTATCAACTGAAGTTTCTGTAACCTTTCTGCTAATATTTGTTGCTTTTAATAGTCAGTCTTTGCATGTGCACACACACATGCAAACTAAGGAGGAGCAGAGAGAGAAGGAGAGAGAATCCCAATCAGGCTCTGTACTGTAAGCACAGCCCAATCCAGGGCTCGATCTCATAAACCTTGAGATTGTGACCTGAGCCAAAACCAAAATTCGGACTCTTAACCAAATGAGCCAGGCAGTTATCCCCATAGTCATTTTGTTCTTAAGTGACAACAAAAATGTATCTTTTACATTTGTATATTTAACTATTACATTTTAGGCAAAGAAAAATCTTTAAAATACGTTAACTATTAAACTGATTTCAGAATTATAATTTATCAGAATAATAAATACTTACCCATGTCAGGTAGATTTTTTCCTAATGTTTGTCATTCTTTTTTCTAGGAGGGAGGACTCTCTTGATGTAGAGGTTTCTGCCAGCGGCTACACAAAGGAAATGCAGACAGATGATGAATTGCTTCATCCATTAGGTCCCGATGATGAAAATACTGAAACAGAAGACGGACTTGAATTCTCACCTTCTGATGAAGAGTTGTCAGAAAAAGCAAAGTTTCATAAATCAAAAAATCAAAGTGATCAGAAGTCTGCAGATGAATCCGCTGACTACTGTTGCATATCATCTGGACACCTTGAACAAATAAAGGGAGAGGATTCGTCAGAGGAGAGTGCTGATGCACAAAATTTTGAATTACCTGAATTCAGTCAAGCTTTAGAAGAAATAAAAGGTCAAGTTATTGACAACAATTCTGTAACTGAATGTTCTGAGGAGACAGACAAAATTGAAAATGACACTAGGCAAAATGGTAAACCAGGTCAAGGAGGAATCCCCGTGAGCTCTGAAGACTATGAAGATGCATGCCCTCATCTGATTGCCTTGTCATCAGTAAACAAAGAATTCAGGTCTTTCAGGTATAGATTTCTGTTGATTGATTTTTTTTTTTTACTTTAATGTGGAGACCTATACTTTCTTCAATTCTGATAAATGAGTGGCGTTTTTTTTCTTGTTTTCCAAATGATATAACAGAGCTGTATTCTGTCCCATTATGTTTAAAAACTGAGAAAGCAAATAACCCTTTTATTGTTAAAATTTAGATTACCTTCTACAATGGACCTAATCCTCGGCAATTTATTGATTCGTTTTTAAACAGTTCTGCCTTAAAAATGCAAACTGATTACTTTAAAAGAATTATTTACAATAATTGGTAAATTGGTCAAGTTCTAGATGTACGAATGTTCATATATTTTTGTAGTTGTATATGTGTTTGGTTTATATGTAGTCCAGTAAACATGTAGTAAATGTGCTCTCTTAAGATATCTACTTAGAGTGAATTTTTTCTGGTACTTTGAACCTTCTATCAATATTTGTTCATGTATAGTTAAAATTATTTAACATTATATGTTTTTTTTTCTGAGTTTTTTTTTTTCTTGCAAATATTAATGAATTAACAGCCTGAACTTAGCAAAAGATAAAAAGTTTAATTTTTATATTTGGAATAGTTTATCCTGAATCATGAAAGGAGTTTTAATTATTTCAAAATAGTAATAAGACAAAACTATATCCGTAGTACATTTATTAGGCATTTCTCAGTACATCCTAAGGCTGTCTTTAGAGTTTTATCGTGAAACAAAACATGAAAATTTTGTGCCTTTTCTGTAAAACTGTATCTGGAGTCTCGGGGCAATTACAAGTCAAATAGTAAATTTGTAAAATTAAAATTATAAGTTAAAATCAAGAGTGGCAGGGACTGAGGATTTTAAGTAATTGAAGAAAATCTACAGAGGTTAAAGAGTCTTAGCACAGAATAACTTGTTCTCTTTAAACACATGTTGGGCAAAATTTGTATTATTCAGAGTAGAAACATAAGATAAGAGATGTTGCTGAAAAATATTGACTGTTCGGTGTTAATATGGTCTGAGTGTCTTAAACTTTGTATATATTAAAACTTTGAGCAATGTGTAAAACAAGTTTGTTTCCATCATTGCAGTTTTCTCCCTTAGCAGGGCAGATGATACAGATTAAGAATACTGCCTCTGGTCCCATTACATCTTTTGTTGTTTAGGAGATGGCAGGGAAGTGTTCTAAGAATTTAAATGTAAGAGGCAGATATGTGTAAAGTTCAATGAAAGAACAAAAGATTAGCGGAAAAGAGATAAATTCTGGGGAAGTGGTAACAAATTTTGATGGCTGAAACATTCTAACGTTTTGCAGTTTTGATGGTGACTATTAGAATGCTGAAAAATGGAAATTATTAATATATTGGGCTGAATTGTGAAATGTGTGAGTTTTACCTTCACAGAAATTTCAAATATAACGATATTTTATTATGTAAGGATAAGTATAAATGCCACATAATTAACTATAAAAAATTAGGTAATTTGTGACTTTGTTTTAATTTTAGAGATGAAGAAAGTATGGAAGATACTAAACAGTACAGAACAAGAACTCTGAGTGTTACTTCTGTGGGCAGTGTTTTAAGCTGTTCAACAATTCCTCCGGTAACTATTCATTCTTTTCCAAATGTTGATTAGGTCACTACCCTGGTTGGATTGTAGACACTCAGGATATGGTCTAGTCCTTGCATTTTAACAATGAGGAAATTGAGGCCCAGATAGGTTACATGACTTTGCTCAAGATTACCCAGCTAGTGACAGCAATGCAGCTACAGTGTGAAGATGTGCCAGCTTCACTAAATTTTAAAGGAGAAAAATAGGTAATTTAAAAATTTTTGACCTAAAGGTTTTGCTAGACATTTAGCAGCAATGTTCAAAAGAATTTCTTAAGGGACACGTTGTGTGCAGGATAGTGAACACAAATAGTCCAGCTCCTGGATTTTACTGCCTGCCATACTCCCCAGGCTGTCCAAGAGGAAGAATCAGTTTACTTCCTTTGTAGATTTTAAGGAAAGAGATAAAATTACATACGTGGTGTATTGGGGACTTCCCTTGTACTTAAAGCCATTAAGCTGCATATCCTTAAAACCAGTTTTTAGTGATAACTTCATTTAATATAAACAAAAGAAGAAAATCAATTTAGAAGTTAGAAAGGAGGCAATAGGGGCACCTGGATGGCTCAGTTGGCTGAGCATCCTACTTCAGCTGAGGTCATGATATCACAGTTCATGTGTTCAAGCCCCACATCAGGCTTTGCGCTGATAGCTCAGAGGCTGCTTTGGATTCTCTCTCTCCCTTTCTCTGTGCCCCTCTCCCATTAGTGCTTGCCTATCTCTCTCTCTCTTTGTCAAAAATAAACATTAAAAGGGGCACCTGGGTGGCTCAGTAGGTTAAGCATCTGACTTTTGGTTTCGGCTCAGGTCATGATCTCATGGTTTTTGAGTTCGAGCTCTGCATCAGACTCTGCTGACAGCATGGTGCCTGCTTGACATTGTTTCTCCTCTTTCTCTCCCTCTCTCTCTGCCCCTCCCCTGCTCACTCTCTCTCACACTCACTCTCAAAAATAAATGGAGTTAAAATTTAAAAAAAAAAAGGGAACATTAAAAAATTTAAAAAAAAAAACCAGGAAGAAATAAAATTATGTGGAATATGAATTCAAAATAAAAGAATTTTGTTTTTACTGAACTTATGATTTCCAAATTCATATATTATCCGATAAGTTAAAATGTGTGCCCTATGGATATAATATGGGATATTTACAAAATTAAATCAGAATTATAAAAGGCTTAAAAGAACATACTGTATTCTATAACATAACACATTTTTAATGGTTCTAGGAACTTTCTTGATAATATGAACATTCAGAGTTTTGAGACCAAAATAAAAGTGAAATTCTATAAATGTATTGATTTTTATATACTCTTTTCTGCTGAGCTTATAATTTACTTGATATTCTAGATGAAAACTATAAATGTTTGGAATTTTTGAAACATCTATTAATTATATTAAAAGATAAAAATTTCCCTTTAAGTATTATCAACCTGTCTTTATTAAGAATTTCTCACACTTTATGATTGTCTGTCCACCCTTGGCTTTGATATTTTCTATACTTGAGTTTTATTTACACTCTTTTCTTTGATTTCTCAGATTCCAAACATAAGTGCTTTTATACAATTACAGTGGCATAAAATTGGCAACCACATATAAAGAAAAATTTAGATTACTAACTCATGCTAAGTTATGCTGTCTTTTGTATATAAAAGATGACACTGACATTGTCTGTAAGTCTTGACTTTACCTCATTTCCTTTATAGCTAATAGGAACTTAAAGTTTAAGATGGGGTCAAACCTATAATGAATTGCATTATAAAATACAAATTTGCCTTCTAAGAGGAAAAAGATCTCTTCAGCCAGCTTGATCTAAAAGATTTCCCTCTAATCATTGGAAACGTTGATGATCTTAACTCTACATTCTTTTGAAAATTTGGTCACCCTTTTTTTCCTTGAGGTCACATTTCATGTTGTTAAAAAGTCATAAGAAAAGAAACTTTATTTTTTTTACCTCTGTTAATTTGATGATTATTTTCCTATATGGTAAAAGATTTTCTCTGTTCTTTGAAACTGTAATTGTAAGATGTTTTCTTCATATAAATACTTCTGTCGTTCTCTATTTATTGGCAAAGTTGCCACCTGTGAACCCTGTTCTTTCTAATATGTAACAAATCCTTATTAAACATTCAGGTATATTGCTTTTTAATAAACATATGGCCCACAACAACCAAACAACAGAATCAACAAAATGCATGATTTTTGCTTAATTTTTTATGTACTCCCTGAAATAATACACAAGTATTTTTAAAAAAATAAATACTAAATGATATTTTTCTCCTGCCTTTTTTTTTTTTTTTTTTTTTTTTTTGAGAGAGAATGAGAGAGAGAGAGAGGGAGAGAGAATCTTAAGCAGACTCTACACTGTTGCATGGAGCCAGATGCAGGGCTCAAACTCCTGAACCATGAGATAATGACCTGAGCTGAAATCAACAGTTGGACACTTAACCTACTGAGCCACCCAGGCACCCCTTCCACTTTTTTTTAACATGAAAAAAATTAACCTTGTAGGATTCATAAATTGTCCTAGATTAGAAGGAGGAGCATGCATAATAATCCATTATTTCCTTATTTTCTTGAGCTTCTTGATATGATTATCCTGTGGTCTCATCAAAGTAAAGAACCAAGGGGAAATTCACACAGAATATTTAGAAAAGAAATTGATTTTTTTTTCTTGAAAATATTCTAGAGGCCTCTGAATTCCTCTGGTTTTAAGTGTGGTACATGCTCTACTGTTGTCTTCCTGGGATGATCTCTCCTTTCCTATTTGTTTGGTTGCCTCTTTTCTAGTTCCATCTCTTTATTTGGCAGTATCGATTCCAGTAATTATTTGAGTGAATGGTAGAAGCGGTACTTTTTATTGCTAAAAATGTCTTTTTATCCTGTTCTCACACTGGATTGGGAGTTTTAAGTGTTCGAGTTGTAGTTTGGAAATGATTTTCCTTCAGAATTTTGAAAGTATTGCTCTCTTATCTTTGTTGTAGTTAAGATGTTTTTCTCATTCAGGGTTCTGGTCTCTTGCTGGGGTGAGTAGGCTATGATAATTGCCTGTCTTCTTCCTAGGATAGGGAGGGGTGCTAGAGCCCAGTCATACTTGTTCTAAACTTTTCAGCCAGTCCTACAGCTTTCAGTTCTGAAACTTCTGAGGTACCACTTCCTTCTAAGTCTCCTGCCTTACTGGGTTTGGGGAACTACATCTCATGGGATATCAGCCTCTGCAGGGAATTGAAAACTGAATGTTCCATCTGTTTATTTTCTTAACCTTTTTTCCCATTGGGAGTCAGTAGACTAAAATCAAGAGGGATGACTTGTTAAAGCCTATTAATTGAATGTAGTCTGCTTACCTATGTAAAAATGCAAAGTCTGCTTTTAACTTATCTGGCCCAAGTTTTATAATACACATGTGCAATTCAAGAAACATAAGCCGACTAGTTAGGCCATTTTACCTCAGATTGATTATTCTTTAATTTTTTTAACTTGACAGGTTTTAATAAATGTTTCTTTGTGCCTAGCAGAGTGTAGGGCATATTAACAAGAGACCTTTCCTTCAATGCTTGCAGTGTTTATTTCTTTTTTAGGAAATAAGTAGGGTGGTACAAGGGTATATACAATTAAATAACAGGCTGTAGTGCTTCAGAGGAAGAAAAGATTATTGGGAGCAGAATATTCAAACTTTTATTCATCTTGTAAGTGACATTGGCAGCCTGGGTCTTAATAAGAAATAATTTAAAGTTATGATTATTCACTGAGAAAACATTCTACATCTCCCAGAAACTGTGTGAAGACTTTACCATGTAACTGCTGCCATCAGGTCGTCTCTACACCTGAAGTTATGAAGGCACTCTTGGATAAATTTTGGCCAGTAGTGAATGCTTTCAAACATAATTTTCTACTACAAAGCCATGTCTACTTTTACCTCAAAAGCAGAGGAACAAGCAGTTTTTTATCTTGGGTAAATTTTTTTTGTTTTTGTTTTCAGTTTTCCTCATGGACACTAGGTGGCACTGTTGTGGTTTGTTATTCAAAGAATTGTGACTACTACTTTTTGCTATAATCTGTATTTCTATTAGGAATTTAATTTCTTCTATTTTATAACCATTAATTTGTGGTTTATTTTGTTGCTGGTTCATATGGTACTGTCAGTGTTTGGAATTTAAGAAATCCATGCTTGTTAACAAATATGAAAAATATTAATGTAAATCTTTGTTTTATTGAATATTGTCTCCTTATTAAAATGTTCAGTAATCAGTAATACTAATTCATGAAATCTTTCCAGGAATTGGTGAAACAGAAGGTGAAACGTCAGTTGACAAAACAGCAAAAATCAGCTGCCAGACGTCGATTACAGAAAGGAGAAGCAAATATATTTACAAAACAACGGAGAGAAAACATGCAAAATATTAAGTCAAGCTTGGAAGCAGCTAACTTTTGGGGAGAGTAATATATTTAAGATTTTGAATGTTTTCCAGAACATTAGTCTGAACCCCTTTTAAGCCATCTTTAGTCTTTTCTAGACCAAGGCAGATACATAAATAGATAAATAAACTCTCTTTCATATATTAATTTGACTCCTTTGGTATGTGTCTTCTAAAGAATAATTTTAGTAATTCTGCTAAACCAATTTAATTCCTCCAAATATTTTAGATGATTAGTCAATCTGCTAAAATCTGTTTTTTAAAATAATCTTTATTAGGAATATTTGCGTATTTAAAAAAAAACTAAATTTCACTATTTGTGTTGCTTTTTGTTCTCTACCAAAAACAAGTAGATTCCATGGTATCAAATCCCAGTTTTTCCACTTGGTAATGAAAAGAACTTTAAGCAAGTCGTATATGTGTCTCTCTCCTTTTCCACCTCAATTTTCTTACTATTACAATGGATTTGTAACTATTTAATAGGGTTGTTTTTAGGACTAGGTGAGATAATACACAGAAGCGCTAAGAACAATGCCCAGCACTTTGTAAACATTCATTAAAGTATAGCTTTTAGAATGATACAATGATTGTAATCATGTTTAGCTTTCTGATACTCTGCTAACAATTTGTTTTTATTTTCTTTAACCACTGGGAGAATTTACTGCCACCTGTTTTTCTTAGGCTTCAGTATTTTTTTTTTTTTTTAAGCGTTTATTTGAGAGAGAGAGAATATGGGCGCGATCTGGAGAGGGTCAGAGAGAGAGGGAAAGAGAGAATTCCAAGCAGGTTCCATGCTGTCAGCACAGAGTCCAACGAAAGGCTCAGTCTCACTAATAACTATGAGATCATGACCTGAACCGGTATCAAGAGTTGGACACTTAATTGACTGAGCCACCCAGGTGCCCCAAGGCTCCAGTATTAAGGATCAGCTGGTGATGCATAATTTTGTTTTCCACTATTTAAATTGGTAATGTGGTCATGGGAACAGAAAGTTGCCGTAGTCTCACCAGTTTCCATATTTGTCCATTTTTATGCAGGCCTGAGCAGAAGTAGAAGAGTTAGGAGTATAAGGAGGTAGAAGGGATAAGGAATGAAAACCTCTTTCTAATATTCTTGGGTGGGTCCAAAACATGTTTTCACTTAACAAGTAAATAGTGCAGGGGAAAGAAAATACATAAGGCATTGTAATACAAAGACTTTGTAATCCAGTGAGATTGGAAGATGGGTGCTTAAGTACATCTACCTGATGATATTCAAGTCTCAGCATCACCCAGTAGGCCAGAAGAGGGGCATCACCTATGGGAAAAAAAATGACCACTAGATGGCAATGTCACTACACAGTCACCAGCCAGAATGTCCTAAAATTACTTGCATCAGTGGTAATGATCTACTAGAGGAAATAGCAGATTTATTTCCAAGAATGATAAAGACAGCAGATTCCCTTTCACCTTTGTAAAATTCATTCTTCTATTTGCAAGACCTATCATTAATAAATACCTTTAATTACATAGACACAAGAAAATGTCCAATTCCCTTGAAAATTAACTTAACGCTAACTTGGAAAGTGTTTACCTAGCTTCGAATTTTAGGTGTGTCTTCACAGCATTTCCTAAATAGATCTACTTTAAAGCATTTCAGTAAAATAATGTTGAAGACATCTTAATAGAACCATAGAATATTTATCTTGCAATACATATTATGTTTAGAGTATCAAAGGTAAACTGGGAATGAAACTATATGACATCTTCCTACTCGATTTTTATTCAGTTGATGCAGTCCACTTTTGGGTACCTACTACATAAACACTATTACTCTAGGAACTTTGAAATCTAAGTAAGCAGTTCTTATCCTGAATAGCCTCAGGTTTCTTGTGGTTGGCAGAACAGATACATCAAATGCATAAATCTAAGCAAATTATTCAGTGTCTAATCAGTGTCTAATATTTTTTTAATATTTATTTTTGAGAGAGAGCATGAGCCAGGGAGGCGCAGAGAGAGAGATCTGAAGTGGACTCTGCTGACAACAGAGAGCCCCCCCCCCCCCATATGGGGCTCTAACTCCCGAACCATGAGATCATGACCTAAGCTGAAGTCAGATGATTAACTGACTGAGCTACCCAGGTACCCCTACTCACAATTTTTAAAAGATGTTTTTGAGTAGTCCTCAATTAGAAATTAGAATTTGGTCTATCAAACAAGATGTAACCCTCACATTTAAAATGTCCATAGTGGGGGCGCCTGGGTGGCGCAGTCGGTTAAGCGTCGGACTTCAGCCAGGTCACGATCTCGTGGTCCGGGAGTTCGAGCCCCGCATCGGGCTCTGGGCTGGTGGCTCAGAGCCTGGAGCCTGTTTCCGATTCTGTGTCTCCCTCTCTCTGCCCCTCCCCCGTTCATGCTCTGTCTCTCTCTGTCTCAAAAATAAATAAACGTTGAAAAAAAATTAAAATAAAATAAAATGTCCATAGTGAACAATGAGCAAAAACAATTTAAGTGTACTACTAATGTAGTCAAGGCATGTACTGTGGTTAATAAAACACTTTGAGTCTGCGAGTTCCAAATTTAGATCCTGGTTCAACCACTTCCCAGACCTCAAGTGCCTTCTGTAACCTCTCTAACCTCACTTTTTTGATTTGTGAGATGAGGACATTTAATAGTGCCTGTCTTAGAATTATTATAAAAATTAAATAATACCTGTAAGGAGCTTAGCACAGTACCTGATACATGTTATATATTAGGAAGTATTTCCCAAATGATTTCAGATTACCAAAAGGAAGATTCTGGAGGAATCTTTTCTATTTCCAAGGTCACTGATATTTCACCTGTGATCTTTTTGGTGCTGTTTTCATCTCAACGTACAAATGCTTTGCTTGTAACCTTGCATCCTCTACTTGTTGCTCCCACTAAATAAGTTTTTCATACAAGATAATGCAGTTTATACTTGTGCTAAATAACTTTGTGATATTGGTAGCCATGGGTCTGTTCTTTGGTGCCTAGCTGGCTGTCTTTGAGCTTTCTCCAGAACCTTAAAGATCTTTTAAGGCTACTAACTAGAAGATAATCATTCTTTTAGTCAAGTACTCAGTAAATGTTATGACAAAACATAGTTGTCTAGTTAAAGAACTTAACAGGTAAACCCGCAGCCCAGAGGTTTATCAGCCACTTCCACAAGGTGGAGGTATGAGTTCATTAGGTTCTCAGGGAGAACACTTCCCTGAGGTGTAAGTTTATTTCAAGTCACATTCAATATTCTGGGTGGCTAAGGCTCACCATCTCCATTATTCTTCATCTCTCTTCAGAACATCTCCCTAGAGAGGATCAGGCCATATCTTAGTTTGACCTTGATTTGCTCTATGAAGGTCTGGAACCATCTTATGCAACTGTAGAAGGCTGGGAATGAGGTAAAGTTCAAAATAACCGTGAGTTACACAGTTGTGTAATAACAAGGAGTGTAGGAATAACTCCAAAGTCTACAACACAGTGAGGGACTAATATTGTTACATTTTAAATGTAAGTTTTTCTTTTGTCTTACTATTTTAAATAATGATGACATTAAAATTAGTATTTTATGTAACATTTAGAATCAGATTATGTAGCCTTAATTCCATAAATAGGAGTGTGCCTCATAATACAAATAAAATATAATCCTTGGAATATTTGTCACAATATTACATGGTTCCATTTTAAAAAAAGTAACCACTTGAAATGAATGAATCCAATAAGGGTGATTACTATAACTGCTTTTAGTGGAAGAGGTTCAACTTACATTAGGAATAAAAATACAATATTAACCCGTACATTTTGCACGTGCTTGATGTTGTCTAAAGATACTGAGGAAGTATACAGACTTTTAAGATAAAATTTTTGTTGACCTAAAGCATCCACTATATTTGAAGAAACAAGATTAAACACATAACAATTAAAGGACAGTACAAAGTCAACTGTACTGAAAGCCTGACACCATTGATCTCACTGAGGAACCTCCAAGGACAGTGGATAAGTGAAAGTTCAGAGTGATTTGGTGAATTGTAGGGAAGAGGGATTTGGTTGAATAGGTAGATTAAAAAAAAGAGCTTGCAAAGAGGAAATCATGCAGAAGACATAAATGTAGTGTGCTATGGTTGGGAAAGGGGTATTGTGCAGCAAATGACCAAATTAAAGATTATTTTAAAATTTTGGTTAGAATTTACCTTGATGTATCGGAAAGGAGCGATTGTAGATTTTGAGCAGTGTAATGATTTGATTTTAAAGGGGGTGGTGAGGCACCTGGCTGGCTCTGTTGGTAGAGCATGCAACTCTTGATCTTGGGATCATGAGTTCAAGTCCCACATTGGGTGTAGACATTATTTAAAAATTAAAAAGAAAAAAAAATTAAAAACTAAAAATAAAGGGGATGGAAAGGGGAACTAGGGAAACTTTGTCAGTGTGGGTAGATTGGAAGGAATCTTGAACAGAAGCTAAAATGTTGCCCAGTCTCCATAAGTATTAAGGTTTAGACAATCTGGGATAGAATCTTACTATTATACTGGAGGTGTAAACATTCTTGATTAGTTTGTTTTTATTTTAGAGATGAGAAAACATTTTTAGATGTAAAATTACTTGCCCAAAATCACATGGAGTAAATAGGGTTGGGAGTAAGTGGGAGGAAAAAATGGAATTGGTAAGTACCAGGAAGGTGAAAGGTAGAAAAACCAGAGTATCTGTGGTTTAGAATTTGGTATCCAGCCCAGGGGTCTCTTTTGCAAAATCACTAAGGTCCACAAACTTTGACTTGTCTTCCTGGTGTTGTGGAGATATGAGAGGAGACAGTCCTTACAACCAGGTCCAGGTTTTGAGTCCTATTCTCCACAAAATTTCCTCCCTTTTTAGAAAACATGTTGGGGTTTTTTTGTTTGTTTTTTGTTTTTTTTTCCATGATAAGCCTTTCATTTTTCTCACAGGCCCAAGAAAACCGATCTCAGTAGACTGAAGCTCTGCCTGGAACATTTCTGGTTGTTCATGAGGAGGTAGGAGGGGATTAAGGTGGTGAGGTGGGGAGTAGTACTTTTTCCTTGAGCTCAAAGCTACTGAGGTACCTGGGGAGGATCAGAATATATCATTCTCTAACTTGGTCTTTCTCTAGTTTTCAATTCATAGAAACATAGGCCCCCTT